ACTACCTGCTCAGCTCCTTGCCGGTGCTGCAGACCTCCTGGATCAGCTGCTGGTTGTGTCTCTCCTTCTCACTGACTTCCTTCTGCAGCCTTTCAAACTAAGTTTTAATCCTTTTATAATTAAAAAAAATTAACATATATCAACACTGGCTTCTTTCTTGGACAGTTTTATAAAGTTTAACACATGTACTGATCTATGCGACCACCACCACCAGCATACAGTGAAATCCCACCATCCCCCAGGAAACTCCCTCTTGCTTCCCTTTGCATACCACCCTCCACAGCCCCCTAACCTTGGCAACCCCATCTGTTCACCTCTACTACAGTTTTGTCTTTTCAAGCATATCGTATCAATGAAATCTTACAGTATGTTGCTTTTCTGAAACTGGCTTATGTACTCAGCATTAACCCCTTTGAGATTTTTCTAAGTTGTAACTTGTTTCAATAGTTCATTCTTTTTTATTGTGAAGTAGTATTTAATCGTATGGATGTGCCACAGTTTTTTATCCATTACCCTACTGAAGGACATTTGGATTGTTTCTAAGTTTGAACCCAGAATTCCTACCTCATGGGTATTTATTCCAGTGAAATGGAGGCTTATGTTCACAAAAACATCATACTCAAATGTTTATAGAAGCTTTATTCATATTTACACAAAACTTTTTTCTTCCAGTCACAGGGAGAAAATATTTGCAACCTATTCATCCAACAGGGGGCTAACATCCAGAATATATGAGGAACTCAACTCAATAGGAAAAAAATCAAATAATTCCATTAAAAAGTAGGCAAAGGACACAAATAGACATTTCTCAAAAGACATATAAATGACCAACAGGTATATGAAAAAATGCTCAATGTCACTAATCATCACAGAAATGTAAATCAAAAACACAGTTATATACTATCTCACACCTGTCAGAATGGCTATTACTAAAAAGACAAATAAATAAATAAATAAATAACAGATGTTGGCAAAGATGCCGTGAAAAGGAAACTCATAATACAGTTGGTAGGAATATAAACAGTGAGACCACTATGAAAAACAGTACAGCGACTCCTCAAAAAACTAAAAATAGAACTACCATTCCATCCAGCAATCCCACTATTGTGTAGCTACCCGAAGTAAAAGAAATCAATGCAGCAAAAGGGTACCTGCGCTTACATGTTTATTGCAGCGCCATTCACAATAGCAAAGACAACCTAAGTCTCCAGCAACGAATGAATGAAGAAAACGTGGCATATATACACGGTGGAATACTATTCAGCCATAAAAAAGAATGAAATCCTGCATTTGCAGCAACATGGATGAAACTGGAGGTCATTATGTTAAATCAAATAAGCAAAGCACAGAAAGACAAATAGCCCCTGTTGCCACTCATAAGTGGAGCTAAAAATGTTGATCCCACGGAGCTGGAGAGTAGCATGATAGACACCAGAGGCTGGGAAGGGTGTGTGGGGTGGGGAATGAAGAGAAGTGGGTTAAAGGGCAAAAAGAAACAAAAAGAATTCTAGTCAGCCACAATTTCCCAAGTGCCCCGTGTCTGGCCCTTTACGTACGTAATCGCACATCATCTTTACAGACACCCTAAAAGGTAGGTAGATGTTCTCTTACTCCTTGGTTCAGAGATGTGAGGATATGAAACTTAAAAAGGTTCTGTCTCTTACGCAGTGTGCACAGCTTGGGAGAGGAGCCCGGACTTAACCCCAGGACCGTCTGATGACAAAGACAACGATCTTGCTACATCATCCCCCCTGGGTGACGAGGGTGATGATGGTAACTCTAAAAGAGTGGGCATTCACGAGTGCTGACAGGAACAACTGAAGTGCGGAACGAGACAGAGTCTAAGGAGGAAACTGCAAAAGAGTGATCAGCGTGATCCTTATGAAATCTAAGCAGGTTCACGTCACTCCTCTGCTCCATCTCCCAGGGGCTTCCTATGCCACTCAGAGCAAAAACCAAAGTCCTTCCACCGGCTAGGAGGCCCAACACAATTCAGCATCCAGCCAGCTGCTACCTACCAGCTACCGTGGTCTTTTCTCCAGATGGGCGGGCCTCCCTGCTCGGCCAGGCACAGGCCAAGGCCACTCTGCCTCAGGGTCCGTGCCCCTTCTGCCACAAACGATCATCCCCAGACAGCTGCAGCATTCACCCCTTCACTGTGCTCAGCTCTCTGTTCAAGTGTCATCTTTTCAGAGAGGCCTTCCCTGACCCACCCTAGACAAAAAATAGCAACCTGTTCCCCAAGCCCTCTCCTCTTTACTTTCACGGTTTTTCTCCAGGTATTTTATGCCCACCAGGCATATGATGTGTTTGTGTTTACTGTCTGTCCCAAGGGTACGGGCTTGTGTGCCTTGTGCCTCATTCTGCGATTGCAGCCCAGTGCCTGGATGCATGGTATGGCCAACAGGGGACAGGTGAATCACAGCCACTACCTGCTCAGCTCCTTGCCGGTGCTGCAGACCTCCTGGATCAGCTGCTGGTTGTGTCTCTCCTTCTCACTGACTTCCTTCTGCAGCCTTTCATTTTCCTCCTTTGCACTGGCGTACTCCTGCTGAAGGTGCTCAAGGCTCGCCGTCTTCTTGGAGAGGGACTCCCGTAATTTTTCATTCTCCTTCTGTTTATCTGCAAACACAAAAAAAGTGCCACTGAGAACGGACACCATTTGTTTTTTCCAACCTTATTACGCAAATACAGCACTTCAGCTCGAGCACTCCAAGAATACAAAAAAGAATGAGATTTAATCTGGCATTTATGATCTTGGCATTCCAATTATCTTATACGTTTTGGGCAGATAAATCTGTCAACATCAAGGCTGCAGATTAAACGTCACTGGGATAAAATGAGCCTGTTTAATTTTCTATTAAATAATAAGCCATGCAAGCCTAGTTACTTTGCCTTCGCGGAGCGAACAGTGGGTAGAAACTACAGACACGGGCAAGAAACAGGGCCCCAAACTCAGGGAAGGGGTGCTGAGAAATCCGCAAGCCTTCCTCAAGCCTCCAACCAGGAGGCCAGCAGGGCTGTGCAGATGGCACCTGGGGCCCATTCATGCCTCAGGCCATGAGGACACCCCCTCGCCCGAGGAATAAAATATACCCAGAGGCACAAGAGACGCGGTCAAGAGCAGGGTGCTGGAGGCAGCATGGCCTTGTTTAAGTGCAGCTTCTCATTTTACTGAGCTCATAGACTTCAATGTGGTTCTTCACTTCTCTGTGCCTCAGTTTCCCCATGTGTTGTGAAGATTAACTGAGTTACCATCTACAAAGGGCTTAGCACAGGGCTTCACGAGCACATTGGGGGCTGGAAGCACTCCATAACGACGAGCTGTCAGCGTTGCTTGTGGTGGTGAAGAACTAACATGTACCAGCACTAACTGTGCAGGATTTACATTGAGACCTGCACATGTATCATCTTATTTAATCTTCACAACAAACTTCTGAGGTAGGTGTGATTATTCTCCCCATTTCCCAGACAGAAAACTAGGGATTGATGAGGTTAAGACTTCCCTAAGGCCATGTAGCCAACTAGTGGCAGAGCCAGGATTCAGACTCAGGTTTTCTGACTCCACGACAATCCTAAGCAAGCTAAGCAAGCTCTCACCTCCTCCCTCAGACTCCAGACACACCAAGCTGCACATAATTCGTGATCGGTCTGTACTCTCCTCACCACTAACCCCTAGACCCTATCTGTTCTCTTCCTTCTATTTAAAAAGCCCTGGCTCCTCTAAACCTTATGCACCTTGGCTAATCCCTCCTTATCCTTCTAAACTCAGCTCTTGAAGACTAGCTTTTCCTGGGGAGGGATGCCTTCCTGGGGTCCTGCAGTGCCCTGGGCCTGCCTTTATCGTGGTTAATACCCACACTGGCCTGCCATGGGCTGTCTGGCTGTCTCTCCCATCCAACCACGAGCCCCCTGAGGGAAGGGACCAGGTCTCTTTCATTTCTGTATCAGACTCTTGCACAGGTCCTAACGTAGAACAGGAGATAGGAAATGTTTGCTGAGTGAATGAATGACCTGCAGAAGCCCCAATTTCATCTCTTAAGCCAAAATCAGCATCAATATTCTCTAGAAAAAGTAGAATAAGCTGCCTCAAGGTCCAGCTCCACCCCCTTCTAGCTCTATGACCACAGGCTGGGCAATTCCCTAGGCCTAGGTTTCTTATCTATAAAATACCACTAATAATACCACATTCCAGAATCGCTTTAAGTATTAAAAGATACTATAAGTGAAAGCCCTTTGGTAGCTAAGCTCCAAATACTTGAGAGAGAAGGGATCTTTCTATAAGAAATACTGGATAAACCTTGCTGATAGTAGGAAATCTCAGCTTGAGATTTGGGCAGTAATATATTTCCAACTCTTCTCTCGTCCACTGTGAACAGGGACGATAGAGAGGTGGCTGTACAGAGGGGATGAGTGACAAGTAAATAAAGTAACATTTACTGAGTGCCTATTAGAGACACTGTGCTGAGAGCTTTACACCGTTTAATTGTTGCAACAGCCCTATGAGGTATTCCTTAACCTCTCTGGTTCCAGTTTTCTCAGCTATAAAACAGGAATACCTCATAGGGCTGTTGTGACAATTAAACGGTGTAAAGCTGTCACAGAGCCACAGGATTCAAACCTAGGCTGGTCAGACTCCAATGCCTACATTCTTTGCACGACACAGAAGGCTTGGGGGTTCCAGACTGCAAGTGACTCCTTTAATTCTTACCTCTGGATCCTTTCACGAGCATCGTATTGAGGGCCTGGTTTTGCTTTCTCAAGAAATGAATTTCCGATGTCAGAGAATTATGCAGCTCTGAACCAGAAGCAAAAATGTTTGTAGAACCTATAAAAACAAACATAAAGAGAGATTTATAAACAGTCTCCAGGTCAGTCAGTATGGTTGGAACTTTCTAGAAAACAGTTTTAAACAATGAGTTAACACAACATGAAAATCACTCTTGTGTGCTATATAAGATATTATAATCCTAGAGGCCAAAGGGAAATGAGTGAGCTTGAAAGAGCGGGGAAAGTGAGGCTCCCCCACATCTTCCCTGTCCCAAGGGAAGGTCCAAAGGGTGAGCAAAGCAGGAGACCTGGGCCAGGAGTGGGATGAGTGAGTGACAGTCTTAACCTTCACAGACGTCTCTCTCAAGGTCGAAACTCATGCATCTAGCCACCTGCTTGGCCTCGCCACTGAGGCAGCTCGGTCCACAGAGACAAAGCCGAACTCCTCACCCTTCTGCTTCGAGAGATGGTATCGCCACAACCCCTAACCCCAGCTAGAATCCTGGGGGCCATCATACATGCCTCGATCTTCCACTGCCCAATCAAGCAATCACAAATGCTGATTCTTTCTCCAAAACACCTCGTACACTGGCCTACTCTTTTCTGTCCCTACAGTTCAGGCCTTATCACCCTGCTCTAAGCTTGCTCCCCTGCTCTTCTGCCAACAGGGTTATTATCTTAAACACAGTCCGTTCATGTTACTCTCTGCTCAAATAACATCTGATGGCCCACCATGGCAAAAGACAACCAAACAAACAAAACACAAGGTCCTACTTATCAGTCTAGAATCTGAGGATCTCCGTTACTTAGCGCCAATCTCAATGCATGCCCTACTACCTCTCCACCCTGGGCCCCATGCCCTTAAGGTGGTCAAAATGGACCACTTCTGTGTCCCAAACACACATGTGGTCACACACTCCCGACTTTGCAGAAGGAGGTATTCCCTTCGTCTAGAATGCCCACCACTCTCTTTACCTGTCAAAATCACACTCTTTCAACTCTTAGCTCAAATTTACTGCCTTTAAATGCATATCCTAAAGATGACGGTCTAGAGCTCCAGACTGGGCTGGAGGTCACATCCTCATCTAGAAACACCTCACCATGTTCTTGTCTGTCTCTTAAAACCCTGCCCCTTCCTTTAAATCCAGCTAAGACGATACCTCTTGCTGGACACCTCCCTTGACACTCAACCTCGGCACTCCCCACCCTCTGAGCTTTCCATGTCTGTACCACAAATAATGTTCATGTTCACAGTTACCCTCAGGAGAGTGCCCACTGTGTGCAAGGTGCCTTCTACACTGGCAGGCATATTCTTCTCCTCCCCCTGCTCCACACTGATTGAGTCCACGTACTACACCACAGAGCCAAAATGCCAGATCCCTGCTTTCCCAGCCCCCTTGCCGCAAGGACATGGGCATGTGCCACTTCTGGCCAACAGGACCTGATGGGAAGTCTGCTGGGGGCTGCCGGGACAGATTTTCCCCTGGATGCAAAGAGAAGGACAGGGAGAAGCCTTCCCCACTTCTTTCCCGTGCTTTGGACACTGTCCTGAAAGGATGGCATGCTTATAATTACTGCAGTCATCACAGATACTAACACCGAACTCTGCAATCAATCACTGAGCCATAAAACATGCCTTTGGAACTACCTGCCTCTGGATTTCTTGTTATGTAAGAAAACACAAACCCCTGTTGTTAACATCAGTTTTTACTCATATTCTGTTACCTGCAGCTGAAAGCATCCTGGTACACATCCTGGCGTGAATAACTACGATATTCAAACTCCTTGTAAGGAAGGTACGACATCAGTTCTCCCAGCAGTTCACACTCTTTCCACCCACCGCACTACCTTGTTCTCGTGTTAACAACTCACTTACCACAATGTCATACATTTTTTTTAACTCACATATGTCTCTCTCCACCATCTTCTTCCACTCCCCCCTATGAACTCTGGTATCTTTTCAGAGATACCTGCGTTTGAACCATGGCTCTGGCTTCTAAAGAGCTGCTTGACCTCAGCGAGGCATGTAAGTTCCCTAGGTGTCCAGTAGCTCAATAAAATGACTGATGTGGTATTGTTACTGCTGCTACCGTTTGTATTAACATTACCATGGATGACAGGCTGGAGCCAAAATAGTAGAGAGTAATCTGAATGGGGAGGAACTATTCTACAGTAGAAGTCGACTACGACCAAAGCTAAAGTAGCAGCTTTGGAGGTAGTATTTCTTTTCAAAGAAATAATTAGGCCAAAGAACAGTTCCTAAGATAGCCTAAACCTAAGCGGCCCAACCCGAGCTAGTGAGGTCCACTCCTGACGCTGACAGGCCCACCTTCCCTCTGAATGTCAGCACTCCAAGCTCGTGTCACTGGGGATTCGCTGGAAGCCCTAACACATGAGATGACGACTGTAAACAATGTTCCCCCCTCAATATTATACGGAGCCATACCTTTCGCAAGCCTACTCCCAAGAGGAACATTTCACAGCAGGGGGAGGTGGAGCCACTTTTATTTGTCTTTTCAGACATTGTGACAACATGGTGAGAACAGTGTGTCTTTCCACCCGTGTAAATACTTTATGAATGCCTTTTTGTAAACCTTCCCGTCAGAGTGAATTACTCTCCAGAGCGACTGCCTGCTCCATTGTAGCTGGTGGCCATTTGAGCCCCCAAATAATTATATAATTGGACTTGCCAGGGAAAATGTAAAACAGAATGAATCTAATTCAGGCATTACCAAGAGTGAATGTGAAGGGCCCAGGCGTGTATTTCTTTTCCTGTGTTTGATACGACTAATAACTCAGATTAATCAATTTCCCTGAGGGTGAGAGGGGGAGGACGCAGGATGAGGGTGGATGAGTGAGAGGGAGGGAGAGCGTGGAAGGGAACCATTCCGTTTACCTTGCACACTGCAGCACATACAGTACTTTGGAGAGATGTCCTTCTAGGCTGGTGGCTATGATGGGCTAGAAAGGAATGAGGACAGGACAAGGGTCCAAGGACTCAGGTGCTGCCAGCCAATACTATCTTTCTGGAACTCAGTTCTCTCATCTCTAAAGATGGGAATGAAATTAGGGTCTCTGACCATTGTAGAGCTTTGCAATGTTAAACGGATAATGCTATACAAAACAAAATAGTAAAATAAAACTGACGATGATAAAGAAAGCAACCATTTATTGAGGCACTGAGCAAGGCTCTATTCATAACACTGCCTCATTTAATCTCACAATGACCCTGTTTTATGAAACAATTAAGACTGGGGGAGATGGGATAAATTGCCCAAAGTCACAAAGCTAAAAGAAGAACAGGGATCCACACCCAGGACACCCCAACTCTCAAACAAACTCAGGCTTTTCCAAGTGCACCAAGATGTTCTCAAGATACATTCTTCATGGAATGAGGACACTGTCTCTGGAACAATAAGGAAAGATGCCCAAGATACACTGTGTAAAGAAAAATGGGAGAGAATAGTGGATATAAAGTATGCTACCTTTTGGGTACATGAGGGGGAGAATAAGAATATATATGTGCATTTGCATTTAAAAAAAAATCACTGTAAGGATACAAAAGAAAACGAACAAAAGGAGGGAAGAGGGACGGGAATACGGGGTTAATGGGCAAAGAATGGAGGTTCTAATTTTTGAAGCATGTAAATGTCTTACCTATGGGGGGAAGGATAGTTTTAAGTGCTTCATGGAAGATCATTCCCTTCAGAGCTAACTGTGGTTATGCAGAAATATTGGTAACCTTTTCATTGGCATGTGAGCTTTACTAGACTGCTAAAATGCTGATATTTTTATAATCCATTATTGATGAAAAGACAAAATAATGCTTTGTTTTATTTTAAAATATCTATTTTTCTATAGCTTCCAAAGTCAAATGAGGTGCCAACCACAATTTAGGATGCCAGAGGCTAGCAGACTTCTCCAACGATGGAGAAATTAACATTTATCAAGCACCTGCTTTGTACACAGACTGCTTATTCAGGCAAAGGTGTTACAATAAAACACTCACAGGCTTATACTGCTCTGTGGGAAGGTCCTTCCTTACCTTGATCAAATTCAGATCCTTGCCGTTCGAGCTGTTTCCGTAGCTTCTCATTTGTTTTAATAGATTCTTCTAAACGTTTTCTCAAAGTTCGAATTTCCTGTATATGTTCCATTAGTAAGTCTACAGGAGGGAAGAGCATTTTTAATTCAAAGTCTGAAGCCCCCAACAAATTGAATAATTTATAGATTATGCAGGGATCTTGAAATTCCAAAACAGTATTGGATGTATTAAGATAGTTAGCAACTGGCAGTTCTTTCCTGGCATGGGGAGGTTGAGTTTCCACAGCTCACAGACATAGTTCTATAATGATTTTCTGCAGCCCTTCATGAGGAAGATATTTTATATCACATGGAAAAATTATATTCCATACAATTTTAATGCTAACTCTAATGTAGCCTTTTATTCTTCTAAATATCAAATATTAATTTAAAATCTTCCTTATGGTGAAACTAACAGATCACTTTCAAGTCTGCTTGAATTGCCTGAGAGTTGACTAAACTACCTTCATAATGAATCCAGTTATTTTCAAGACCAATTTTTTGAAAGAAATATGTTCTCTATTTATCACTTACTGATTTAAGACTCGAAAAAAATAAAGCAAAACAATGCTAGTGAGAATGGTAATAAGAAGGATAATCTCAAGAGTACATCCTGTTAGTGTGAGTACAAATGCATACAACCTTCGGGGGATACTTCTATCATTAGATGGAGAAAAGTTCTTTTCCAATGTCTTTTACCAAATAATTCTACTTCTAGGACTCTATTTAAAGAGATCACCAGAGATGCTGACAAGCCATTTGCCAGAATGCAGGAAAAAGTTCATCTTAGTATTGTATGTAACAGCAAAAACTGAAGTAGCTCAAATTGTTAAATGAACTGCAGCACATCCATTATAATGCAGTATTATATAGCTGTTAAAAAGTGTTATGAAGGCTGGGCACAGTGGCTCACACCTATAATCCTAGTGCTCTGGGAGACTGAGGCAGGAGGATTGCTTGAGCTCAGGAGCTCGAGACCAGCCTGAGCAAGAGCGAGACCCTATCTCTGTAAAAAATATAAAAATTAGCTAGGCATCGGGGCGCATGCCTAAGTCCCAGCTACTTGGGAGGCTCAGGCAGGAGGATCACTTGAATCCAGGAGTTTGAGGTTGCAGTGAGCTATGATGACGCCACTGCACTCTACCCAGGGCAAACAGTGACACTCTGTCTCCAAAAAAATAAAGGTTATGAAGACTACATAATATCATGGAAAAATTATCATGTTATTATGCTAAGTTTTAAAATAGACATGAAATTAAATATTCAATATAATCACAACTTGTAGAAAAAAACAAACTCAGTTTCTGCTATATTCTCACTCAACACAGAAGACTTCTCTAACCAAATGTCGGGGGAGGAGGGTTGTTTTTCCCATACACATCAAGCAAGCAATCAATGTGCGGTGGATACCAGCTAGGTGTACTCTCATTCAGTTCAATTCTGATATTATCTACGTGGAGATAGTGTGAGATCCAGCCCCGTAAGACTGTCCCCAACTACAGATGCCAATGGCAAGCCTCAGGTTGTTTTACCTGAGCTTCTGACTGACCATAAACTGGGGTTCCCTGGACACTCTCCTTGAGTTTAATTAAGTTGCTAGAGTGACTCACAGAACTCAGGAAAACACTTGCTTATGTTTACTGGTTTATTATACAGGATATTATGAAGGACACTGATGGATACCAGATGAAGAGATGGATAAAGCAAGGTATGTGGGAAGGGGCGTGGAGCTTCAATGCCCTCTCTGGGGGTGCCACCCTCTAGAAATCTCTCAGTCTTAAGCTATCCAGAAACCCTCCAAACCCAGTCCTTTTGATTTTTAATGGAAGCCTCATTATACAAGCATGACTGATTACATCA